GGGCGCTGTTGTAGCTGAAAAAGGAAAAGGAGGGGGGGGGGGTGGACGAGGGTATCCCTTCACTGTGGTTGTGACTGTGGCGCGCTATGGGCAGCTCGCGGCCGTCAAGAGACGAGCACAGTCTTGTTCGCTGATGGGTCGTGTCAGGGGGGATGGGTTTGGCGGGCGGGCCATTTCTTTTCTTTTTCTTCTTTACAAATGGCAAGACTGTATCGTATCGTTCGTATCAGTCGTTTTCTCCCCGCACTAGCAAGTGTGGGTAACGGGCAGCCCGTGCGCCAAATCCAGTCTCACTGACACGCCCTATCCCTCGTAGCGAACAATACTGTAGTTTTGTCTAATTCCCCAGGCAGTTTTTTTAGTCGAAAGCTGAGAAAGAACATCGTAATTCGAGGCTTCTATTTGCTCAAAAAGATGGGTACGCCATCGAGAAGCTCCCTCCCTCTCGATTCAAAAGTCCTCAGTTCCATGGCGGCCTTGCATTTCCTCCCGAGAAATTCGTTGAATGCCTCTTTCACGTGGTCTGTGTCATGCATGTGCGAAAATGTCTTTGTCAACTCGGCAGTACTAAAACAGACGCCAAATCAGTCATACGAAGCACTACAAAGGGAAACTGTGTGACTGCACATGTATGTCGTGCGATCCCAAATGTGTTACAGTCTTGTTCGCGCGAATGAAGGGGCGTGTCAGTGAGGTTGTGATTAGCGCGCCACCAGCTCGTTTTCCAACAGTTGTTAGAGCGAGTAAGCGAGAAGAACTAGTGAAAAACGACTGAACGAACGATATTATACAGTTTTGTTGCTCATAGAAGGGATAAAACGTGCTGGCCACGCCAAACCCTTTCCCCTCTGACAAGCCCCATCATCCGCAGAGGGCAAAATTCAAAAAATAAAGGAATTGGAATAACAGTTATTTATAAACATAATTGACTGAACATTTCAGCCTCACCTGGACAATGCACATCTTCGCTCAGAGATACCCCTCATACTCTATCAAATGGTTTTTGCTGTGATCCGAAGATACCGTTTCTTGTGGACAATCAACTTAGCACCAATAATGGCATGGGTGCAATTACTCGAGTACAAAATAATTTACAACAAAGTAATCGCTAACAATTTATAGCCTTTGAATGGTTTTAGGCTGTCCAAGAACGTGTTCAATCGCAGTTTAACACCACGTTCGAAGTTATCATATCAGAATCGGATTTCGTTGTCAATACTTACTATACTGGTCTTCGACAGTGTAAATTCGAAACTGATCGATATTATGTGGCTCTCTATGAAACCCCCGAACAGGTTGGACCAGCGAACGCTTGATAACAGTTCTTCAGCTGATGTCGTTGTTTCCGACATAGGGACAAATCAGTCAAACGAGCGCTCAACGTCTTGTCGAGTGGTGTTTGATTAATTACACTTTGTGTTACTTTTTTTCAGTATGATCTCAATGACGTCGCCACAGAAAGCAGGCTAGCTAGTGTGGATAGCAGAGATCCGCTAGGATGGAAGGAATCTCCACTTGCTGCGGAAAAGCCAGGTCCTGTGAACTTTTGCTGAAAATTCCGTCATTTAAATGATAAATTTTTAAGGGCAAAATTAGAAATAGTTGTGTGTGTCTACATTCATGACACCCACAAACGATAGGGCGTGTGATGAAGCGCTACTGGGGCGGCCTTTCCCCACCAATGAGGCTACTCTGAGTCCGCAACAAATAGTGAGAAAGGCTATCCTGGCTGCGCTCCTTGTTGCGCTGCTTGACACGGCACTACTATCTCCATAGAGTGATGATGACGAGACAAGCTTCGGCATGTCGTTCCTCCCCCGACCAGGGCCTATTATGACGATGAGTAAAATTTTTGCAAATTATTTTAGCTGTGTACCATTCTACCTGCCGTCTTCCAAACGCGCCCCGATATCTTAGCGTTGAGCGGGCCGATCAACTATCCTGTCAGAAAAAGGGTTTGCCGCGCTGCCACCTGAGAAGGGCGCACAATTCTGTTGGCTGGTTACGCTGGAGAGTTACAAAGCGCTGCACTTGGCACGGCGCCAGCCAGTTCTTCACAACCAAATCACCAGCTTACCACGATTGGTTGAGAACAACTAGCGCTGCGCCATACCCAGCCCACTGAAACGCCTCGGCATTTGCAGTTAAAGGAGGGTCCGCGATCAGGTATAGAAGTTGAAAATATGGCGTCGGGAGGGTAGTGTGGTCCGCGACGAACAACCTTGTACCGGTTTTGCGGCAAAAAATTGTAAGGGAGGGGCGCTATAGCGCAATATAGGTTCAGTGACGCCTCCTTTTTTCCAGTGACTCCGCCTCCAGACTCCGCCTTCAAGGCCCGCCTTTCAGTGAAAACGAAGCTGCAGGACGAAAAAGCATGAAAATCGTCACTTGTACGGTCGTAGAGTTCTTATCGGGGAATCAGCTGTGCGGATGAGGGCGTAGTGTTGGAGATGGAGTTAATTGGGCACGTACAAACTGGGATCGGAATGGGGTTCTATCTAGGGCAGTTGGCATGTTTTTCTGCTTTTTCTTCACTATCGAGTTACTCAGAACCTTGTCGTCTATATGCAAACCCCTAATCCACTATCTGTGATGGCCAATGATCGCGGGTTTTCCCTTTAACAAAACTGACCGAACAGATCCCAGCGTTGAGCTTTATACAGCGTAGCTTAGTTTCATTATTATTCTCTGCGCCTCTGGCTCTTTTGTCTTCCCTCATGTTTTTCGTAGCGTATTTGTTTCTCCGTCTGCGTCTCTTTTAGCTTTTCCATACCTTCTACACTATCTCTTTCTAGGCTAAAATATTCTGCTAGAGACACATCTTTTTGAATTCCAAGCTCTTTTTACTTTGGATATTTTAGTCAAATAGTTAACCCCGGAAGTTTTCTCGGCGACAGACTAGTTCGATGATTTGGCCATTGCAGAACATAGACGACCCGTCTCGCCGCGGCGTAGAGCAGACTTGGTCTTACTGTCGCGTACCCCCTCTTCCGAACTACGGTAGCGCATTTTTCGTTCTTCTTCAGGCGGTTCTTCAGGCGAGTCATGGCTTCGCGTTAGTAAGCGATGATGTGCGCCATTGAAGCTCCTAGAATGAGCCCATTCCATTCAGAGCCGTAGTGGCTTACTGAAGGCGATCGGCCCATAGAATGACTCGCAAGGACCTGCCTGTGTACAGATAGTCTTGTCCGCTGCTCATGCTTGGGCATGTCAGGGGGTTGGGTTTGGCACAGCGGCCAGCTCGTTTTCCACCAACTGTTGTCGCTTGCCCGCGTCAACAGTTGGTGGAGAACGAGCTGACGCCGCGCCAGTCCCCTCCCACCTCCTCCTGACACGTCCCAGAGAACAAGACTGTATAGATCATTCCCACATCAGACTGGCCGTTTCACCCTGAACCTGAACGCATCCCCTGCTTTTTCGGTTTATTAGTCGAAAGGGCCCTTTCCGCGCTTATCATATGGGGAGGTCCCTCGACCATTACACTTTCCTCATTGGTGCTGCTCTCGCTTTTGCTCTCTTAGAAGGATGAGCCAAACAGGAGACCGAACCCTGTCTGAGTGATTCCACCTATCGCTCAGCTCCTAATGCTTAAAGGCAGTTGACACGATAAATCCCCCAAGACGAGTAGGATTAATACGCATGGCAGGACGAAATTCCGCGACTCTGAGCATGCGCAGCGCTTGCATAGTTCCTTGTTCCCTAAGGGAGGTGCCCTGTATATAGGGCCCCTATCAAGCCACAACATACGGCGACGCCAAAACGCCGTCGAGATAGACTCCCGCCCACAACATGGACGACGCCGTTTCTGACGCTCTAATCGATTCATTTGCTTAGCAAATTATGAAGCGAAGGGATTGTTGTGAAGCGGCCTTGATGCTGCATAGATATATGAGTACAGATATGCAGCCGTACCTTCGGTAGCGGTTGTTGGCAAGGAAACTCGTCCAAAATTGATTTCTAACACATTGAGAACGGAGGCTCTTTTTTTCGCAGGATTTTGACCGTTTCACTCCGTTCTTTCGCCATTTCCCCACTATATAGCGCCCTACTAGCATTTTAGGCCGAGCACCAAATCATCGTGCCAACTGCCTTTGAAGTGGCGGAGTATGGAGAGCAGGCCATGTCCTCAGGCCACATTCAGGCTCTACCGTACGGTAGAAGATGATTATTGGGCGACTTGATACTCTAAGATCGTTATTCAGAGACAATTAAAAACCTCTATTTGATTTGTAATCCCTGTTCTTGGATCACAAACTCTACTGCCGAGATCCTGACCAAGTTTCAATGCGTTAACTCCAACTAAAGGACCTTTGGGTGAACTTGGCTCGATATCATTCTGAAATCATCTATTTCCTGGATCCGATCACGAGATCAGTTCCCGTTTCACTGGGAGCGCGAGGAAAACTTGCAATTGAACTGGATTTTCTCGACAATCACATTCTAATGCTTAACAATAAAACGTAGCGATTTCTGAAAGGGGATTTTAGCCAATAATTGGAGAATTTCCAAAAAATAATCAACAAAATGCTAACGTATTTCCGATTTCTGAGCTTGAACAGAACGCGCTTCCTTAGTACTACTATTGTCATGCCCTGCAGTAATATAGTACTTTTTTAGATGTCATTCCTGGGAGCCTCAACAAAGGTGTGGGCTTATCGGGAGGTGGTGGAGCTGCTGCTGGGAACTCTGCCAGTAATCAATCACCCATTGTTTCTGTTGCTGGAACTACCGGTCAAGACATGAGTTCATCCGAAAGTCACATGAGTTCATCCGAAAGTCAAAGTCAATCGGTTGAAGTCAGTTCGGAAGAGCAATCAGGAAATTGTGCGTGGAGATCCCAAAATCGTACGTTAATTTCCGCTGTTTTATTCACTGTTAACGGAAATACCATATTGTGCCAATTTTATGCGTACAGAAAAAAAAGAAAATTTCACTTCGCAACGACACCCCTCCCCCGCACGCGCGATGGAATGGATTGTGAAAGAGTGAATATACCGAATCGCACGGGGGACTAATCGCGCTTGCCGCCATTGATGCCTTACGTTTAAATGGGGTGGGGACTATCCTATGGAAAGTGTACAACCATCTCAGAAGCCCGGCCCACAGGGGGTAGCTTGGGTGTACTAGGGCCGAAAATGGAAGGGTAAATGAGACAGCTGAGACCCCGTGAAAAGGCATCGCGTTCGGAAACATATTTCCTCAATGCATATAAAAGCACGGATTTTGGATTTAGCTGTATTTTCGACAAGGTTTAGAGATACAGTATACACTCACATCCAAGGATTCTTGCCATATGCGAGAAGAATGGGATTGAGCTGTATAACTGTAATGCTTCCGGGACTTGAGAGCACGTGAAAATGAAGCTGAGAGGCAGTGCTGCCCAAGTGTCGTTTTGGACTCCACCCGCACTATCCTCAAGTGCAGGCACTCGCGTGGATGTCCCAATCCCACTGCGAACAGTAGCGAAGGTGGAGAACAACAAGACGTAAAAGGGTGCAGACAAGTATGCGTGGTCATGGTTAGGCGTGCGGATCGCAAAGCCGGGACAGCGGCGGTGAAGGTCAATAGCAACCCGGGTTTTCCCCCTCAAGCCCGTTCCTTTGCACTTGAGGGCGCAAGTATAGGGCACGCTACTGTAGCAGTAAAGTGGCAAGGACCAGGATCCTCGGAGATGAGTGTACAGTTTGCCATTGACTGCGCACAGCGAAACTACTATATAATAAAAAGTAGTCATTATTTTTTCGATACTCGTTTCTATTCGTTTAATTTTGTCGTTTTGTGGTCTGTTCTTTCATAAATTGATTTATGTGATGTTACAGCTGATGCCAATGCGCCGTACACTTTCTCGTCTAATGAATGCTGCGACTCACGTCTCTCCAGAATTATGCGAGATGCGGCTGCTAACTCTATAACATCTCCTCAACTGGGTGATGCCGCGAGGGTAAGGTGAACAACTGTCCCTGGTCGGAACGGGTCGCCGAGATGGGAAAATTTTTTTCTCAGTATAACTTTTCCATATTTTCTTCCCGGACCCGACCTCCACCGTAGTTCAGGAAGGCTGCCTATCAAGCGGAATGGTGGGGGTGGGGTAAGGAGAGAGGACTGTGGAGCTTATATGAACTGCTTAACTGAACGGTGGTATACAGCGTCTGGGACGGAAGAATTATTAATCGAAAACGTTTTTCCGAGGCTAAGAAGTCCTCTTCCCTCCCGTAGCCAGCCGAATTCGGGCCCCGTTAGGAATACACCGGTGATGTAGTCTGGGCACGTCTGTAAATGAAGGGTATCATTGAGCTGACTGATGTTCTTAAATCTCACCTGAACAGTTGCTATTTATCTTCATTTCTATTCTAAAGCATTTGCAAAAGGCCCGAAGAGAAAAACTTGAGCGCTTGAAGCACTCAAATCAGCGCTGAATCTCGTCCTTAATTTCATACCTTCGTGATGTGACTGAGGTTTCAAAACGTTTCTTCAAAGGAATTCGTCAGTTATCGCTGCTCATCACGAGAGCGGTTCGGCGGTCAGGTCTCGGACCATAACTTCCATGCCGGGGTTCGACGGGAGCCTGGTTGATCGGAGAACAGCTCAGGTAGATTCAAAAAGCTGACTGGTGCGTTTGCCGTA